CGGCTACCGACCCGGGACGGCTCTCGAGTGGGCCAGCGTCCCCGGGCCCGGGTGCTTTTTGCCTCCTGAGCCGGGCGCCCTCGCCTGGCGAAAGTTTCCTCCTGGCGCTTTCGGTCACCTGTTCTTGAGCCACGTTCAAAATGAAAACAGCGTTGTCTGTAGGTAATAGTTTATGAAACCTTTGCCCCGGCATTTTTAGTGCACTTCCCCGCCCCGATTCCCATCCACGAACTGAGGTATTTTTAAAGTGCTCGAGTAAAACAGCTAATATTTCGCCGGCTTTTAAAATTTTTATTACCTCTTCCTTTAATTTGGGGAGATAGCTCTTGATTACAAATTAGCTATATTCCCAATTTTTTTTCCTGGGATGTTAAAATAGTACAGATAAGTTTTGATAGTGAATCTGATAAGAGCTTTATACTTGGCCCTCAATTTCAATTCCAGACGATATTGGTTTCACGTGCGCGTATTTGAGTTAATGTTTATGCTCTGCGCAAGGTCGCTGAGCGCAGGTTGAGCCAGGTGAAATTTTTTTTCTGCAAGAGCACCTCGCCCCTAGCGCTGTTAAATACATGATCCGTGCTCGCCATTTGTATAGATTTGCGACGGGTCGTTCCCGGTTTCTCCTGGAACTGTTCACCTAGGAAGGTAATTTGTACAGCTCCCCCTCCCCCTAGTATCGCTTCAATCACATTAAACTCGAAGTTAATATTCTTTTATTCACTCAAAAGCTGTAATAGGCATAAATTCTCTTTTTCTTGTTTTCTTTCTTTCTTTCTTTCTTTTTTTTTTTTTGGCTGCTGGCTGGAATGGGGATACTAACGCTTGACGTTGGTGTTACAAGGTAAAAACAACTGGCTAGCCCTTCTTTATTTTCCTAAGGCTAATAAACTATTCATACATTATAACAGCTATAAACAATAGGGTTTTTCTTGTTTTCCTTATCTGTAATTTCCGATTTACCTAATCCTAAGTAACCTCCTGAACCCAGTTGCAATTAAATAGGGATGAACTTCCATCTACAATTCCCAGAGGCACTGGTGAAGCTTTGTGTTTTTACCAGCTAGTTGCTCTTCTTGTTATAATCAGCCCTTTGGAGTATTGCCAGGTAATACTTGACTTTCTTTTTTACAAAAGCCTATCAACAAATTCACAGCCAATGTGACTCAGCAACGCATTCTGTTTTACCATATATTTACTGAGTCGGTTGTAGAAAAAGGTAATGTGGTCTAGTTCTCCAAAGTTTGATGTATGTGGGGTACCTAACCATGGTTATTTGGTCTGTTTGTCTTTTTAATCAAGAAGTCCTATAAGGGTCTTCTCAAGTAGAAGAGAAGGATTGATGGGGGAATGCAGGAGGCCTTTCTTGGTTTGCTGGGAGGGAGAGAACTGAAGGGTAATTGTGGATTCAGAAGGGCTCTAGAGAACTCAGCAGCCGGTATTTGGGATCTTCACTAATATCAGTTAAGGGAGTTGGCTATTTCTTGTCTTTATTCTAAATGGATACTAGTAACTCCTGCTTCCACAGAACTGCCTTTTGGAACCAACTTTACCTGTCTTCTACTTGCCCTTCCATATGTGCTCTCTACCCTCCTCCTGCTCTTGTGCCTGAAAGGGCTACCTGTCCTCATTGTACCAATGGGTATCTGGATGGGTTCAGGCAGTGAGAAGTATCTGCAGGAGGTTGGAGGCCAGTAGGAAGGTCATAGTCATTATTCTTAAAGCTGGGTCACCAAGGGCTGTCTGCAGAGCCCTGTCTGTACAGTTAGCCTCTCCAATCCTTCCTTTTGCCCTTCAGGTTGTTAAAAGAATAAATTTAGGCAAGTTGAATTTAACAAAGTTTAACCTGAGCAAGAAAAGGAAAAAAAAAATTTTGCAAATTGGGCAG